CTCTAAATAGACATGCAATTATTAATTATAAGTATAAAGACCTATATGTATAGTCTTAAAATATCATTTGGAAATTATATATTTTTAATTAAATACAAGGTTTTCAATATAAATAAAAGAAAATTAGGTGACTAAATACGTTTAATTTGTATATCACATTCATTGTTCTTTGTGTTTTCTTTTCTAAAGATTATGACGTTTTTGGCTTATTTTTAAACTAAAGTAGTGACCTTAGCTGGTCCGAACTTATGCTTATGCGTTTGTTCCCTAACATTATATCACATCCAATATTTGGTGGAGATTAGTATTTATTTATATATATGAAAAAAATAGGAATTTAATATCTAGGCTGCGTTCGATAACAGCTTTTTGAGTAATATTTAGCTTTTTGATTGGTCAAAATGCTAAACCCTATTTTTTATGTAGTGTTCGATAATATATCATTTGAACTGACTTTTAGAGGTTAAAGTAACGTTTTATAAAAAGTTAATTTATGTAACATTTAACTTTTAGCGTTTAATAAAAAGTTACTCGAACAGCTAATAACTAAATGCTATCATAACAGTTAATTTTGCCAAATATGCCCATAATCCCTCGTTTACACAGTTTTATCTCCATTTTACCGCTTAATTTTCTGTTTATTTTTTCGTTAATTAATGGTAAAAAAATATCATTATTGTTCTTAACGAGTGTACGTATTGAATGACATCTAAACAAGAGTGAATTTATTTCACTAATTCTACTTAAATATGTTAATTAAGTAATTATATTAATTTTTCGACTGTATGAATGTCATTATTTAATTTTTCTAACTAACAATATATTAACAGAAAGGTTAATTAAGTTGTGCATAATGGAGATAAAACCTGAAAATTATATAATTAAATTCTGAAAATTAGAGTTCTAAATAATATATTCGAGTATAAGTAAGAGAGTAATTGATTCAAAATAACATAAAGTTGAATTTTTTTTTAAGTCAGAAACCTCAGTACGCAAAATCAATTTTGTTGTCAGACATACAGATTTTGTAATCTTACAAATTCATACATACAAGCTTATACTGCTTATTTATATGAATATAAATTTCTACAAAATAAAATAATTAATTATGTTAAACTCTCACAATGCATAAAAAATGGAAGACTAATATTATTTATATTTATAAAATTGAGCAAGTCAAAATTAATAACATTCGTGGTGCCACCAAACGTCCAATTTCCAACCGAATGAATTAGAAAATTGGAATTTGAGAAGTAGAGTACAAAGTATATCAATGGAGAGCCATGTTCTACCCAATTTTATTATTATTATTATTATAACTTGTTAGATATGTGAAAATTTTTGATAATTTTTTTTAAAATATATATATATATATTGTCACGCCAAGCTGTTCCATTGTACCTATAAATATATATTTACTTGTGTGAATGCTCCCCATGACTGTCGGGGCCTAAAAAAAAAAGAAAAAAGGAAAAAAGAACCATATAATAAACATATTTACCATATTTTGATATAAAAATTCATTTAACAGCATTAGGGAAAGATTCCTGCTAAAATAGAAAAATAAAATTAAAGAAATTAAAAGAACCAACAAAAAAAAAAACATTCATGCAAACAATAGAATGGGTTGGCAAAGGATAAGCATGTGGCTACAACGTGTACTATATGTTAAAGAGAGGGAAAGAAACTTAGGTGCCTCCTTCGTTTGCAACACCTTGTTTCTTTCTTTCCTTTTTTAATTACTTAGTTGGAATATATTACTTTCATATAAGCTTATTATAATGTCCCTTTTTAATACATTCTTTTGTTTATTTTGTTTCAACGATCAATTGGTTTTATTTATAATAGAGGAAATTCTCAACAGTAAGTAACTGAAAATACCATAGTAAATTTTTAATGATTTTGATAAGTAAATTTATCTTATTACATACGAGACTAATGTCGTTTTAGAGTTTTGCCACATTTTATAAGTGCAGTTATACAAATTATACTCATGATCAGGGACTCTTTTTGTAACCTAAGAATAATCATCTAGGGTCGCAAATTTTGCATTATCTATATCCAAATCTGTTTAAAATTTCATTATCTATTACCAAGATCAATATGCTTGAATACCTATTAAACAAATCAATATCTAGATTGGTTTAAAATTTTACTATTTATACCTATCGAAATTCGTTTAAATATCTTAAAATGACAGGATCAATAATTTCAAACTATCCAAATCGAAACTTATCATATATATTATTTTTTACTAATAGTAACTAAAATATTTGTAGGTTTCTGCAACCATACCTTTTTTATATATATAGTAAATCAAATAGCGAATACTCATATCTAAACCTCACTTATACTTGTTCAAATAACAATTTTACTACCATATGGTATAAAATTGATTATTATGAATAGGGTGAGCAGTCCTTTAAATCATTCGAACCAAATAGTTTGATTTCATTCTAATCGGATGCATTTCTATATTAACCATATGGTATAAAATTGAATTCAATCAATCAAACCGATTTGGTTTCAATTATTCTGAATTAAATCAACTCTTTTAGACATAAAGGAAAATTCAATTTATTATATATGATAATCAAATCAAAATGGTTTCTTTTGATTAAATTGATGGTTCTAAAATAATTCAATCAAATTAAAATGGATCGATTTGATTATTTTTTCGATTATAAACCCAATATGGGGTCTGCCCCGATTATGAGTGAATAAGGAAATATGAATTGATAGTACATAAATGTCTTTATTGGAAATTAGGGAGGGGCACATGGCGAGGAAATAAATAAAATGGAGAAAGTTCCCGCATTTCGCGGCACTGCAAAGGGAGTGGAATAGGCACGTGATACTACCTCCTTTACCACCAACATCCTCTGGGTAATGACATTAATTAACAGATAGATAAATTAATTAATTAAAAAGTTAGTTAGATAAAATCGGGATCTGTGCACTAATCATCAGTTGTAATTAGCATTATCTATTAATCTACGGAGGGGTCAACGGGTAACTATTATGAAGTCAACTATTTTTAGCTTACCTTCACATCACGTGACCCTGAGGTCTGTACGTAGTACCCTCAAAAATATGAATCAATTCTCTTCTTGTTTTGCAGAAAAAAAGAGAGAAGACAGCAGTAGCTGCTAAATACCCAAAGCTCTAACTCCCAGGCCAAGTGGGCCTGCCAACGTGTCATTCACACGTGTCATGTGCTTATTTATTTATTTATTTATTATTTATAAACCACAGTACAAGATAAAAATAAACCCCACAGCTCCAAGCAAAGTCTATATAAGCTATACCACTAGCATGATTAATTACGTAAACTAGGAGAACATTTGTGGAGAACTTGAGTTTTCTGAGTGCTCATTTCTGCAAAGTTAATAAGCTAATTTTTTTTCTTTAAAAAAAAATTCTTTGGAATTTGATAGTTTTAGGTTTTTTTTTTAATTGCATGGTTTTAATTAACGTGTTTTTTTTCTTTTTTATAATATTTGGAAATTAAATATATTATGTTTAATGAATTATACATATTCTATCTTAGATGATGTTTAGTTGGAGGTAAATATATCAAAGAAATGTAACTTTTCTGGAAGTGTACGAAGTGTTTGTATTTACTCACTTTGTTCAATATAAATCGTTTTTAGATAATTATTTTGTTTCAAAAAATGAAAGCCGTTGTTAGTATTTTAAGAAGTAATAAATGATATTTTTTCAATGCTACTCTTATTTACATTAGATACAATAAATACTCACGAGTAACTATTCATTTTCTTTCAAAATATAAGTCGTTTTAAGTATTTTAAGAAGTAATAAATGATGTTTTTTCAATGCTATTCTTATTTACATTAGATACACTAAATACTCACGAGTAACTATTCATTTTCTTTCAAAATATAAGTCATTTTGAGTATTTTAAGGAGCAATAAATTATATTTTTTCAATATTACCCTTATTTACATTAAATATAATAAATACTTTTACAAGTAACTATTTATTTTGAGATAAAGGATAATTTAATCAATTTATCATCGATTTTGTTATAATATAGGAGAATTAATTATTTTTTTAATCATTGGGAAAAACCTTAAACGACTTATATTTTTTGACGAGATAGAGTATTAGTTTCGAAATAAAGGATAATTTGATCAAATTACCCTTAGTTTTGTTATAATTTATAAGAATTAATTGATTTTTTAATTTTTTTACAAAAACTTTAAATGGCTTATGTGTTGGAAGAGAAAAAATAATTTGAAATAAATATATAATTTGTAAGAGTAATTTATTAATTAAGAAGTTGATTTGTATACTAAATATATTTAAATTATAGTTCTTCCAAAATAATTTCTTGGAAATGCACTTGTCAAAAAGTATAGACCCTTTAAACTAAATAAGGCAATTACAGTGTTATATGATACGTCTGAAGTGAGGCAGAGGGAGGGAATGGGTGGCTCGGGTGACCGGCATGGCCAGGGCTTCCTAACCTCAGAAAGTTTTTTTATTTTTGTCTTGGTTTTTTTTTATAAATTTATTTTAGAAAAAAAGTTTTTTTTATTTGGCACCATCTAAAATTTTAAAATTTTTTTTAGTCCCATAAATTTGATTCTGGCTTCACCACTGACTCCGAACCATGGTATTTCTAGAAAAAAAAAAAATTAAAATAAATGTATTAGGTGGTGATAGTAAATAAATATGGATTTGAGAACAGAAGTTAATATATTTAAAAAACCCCATTATCGGGATTGCCAAAAACATAAAAAACAAACAAGGTAAATTATTGAGTTCCGTGAACCACACTGCCATACCCTGTTAGAGTAAACGGGAAAAGAATAACAATAGACAACAGTAATATCTCACGCCTCGCAATCGTACACTTTTTCCGTGACTTTAACGTCGTTACCCCCGCCGCAACGTCGTTAATTGAAACGCCGTTTCCATATAACGGAAAACAATGAAGCAAAGCAAAGCAAGCAAGAAACTGTATAAAACATATCAAAGCAAGCACAGACCAGAGGGTTTGAGAGAGAGAGAGAGAGTGTTTCTCCAACTTGTAACACTTTCTTTGACAGCACTGTATTTAGGAGAAATTTTCTTTTAGCAGAAAAAAAAAAAAGAAAAAGGGAGAGATATTTTTGGTCGAAATTCGAAAGAGATTCTTTAAGCATTTTATTTCTGGAAATCCTGTTCTATTTTATTTACAAGTATTCACTTTCTGTTTGGGTGTTTAATTCAGTTTCAGTTTTTGAAGCATTTCTCAGCTGAAACTACACGTAAAATTCCATAATTCAGATCACAGGTAAGCAACTATGTCCTTCAATCTTGTTTTTCTTTGGTTAATTACTTAATTCAGATTATTTACAGTTGCTTTTCCTGATCTTCTCTTCTACTGTGTTTGAGAATTGCTTATGTTTTGTGGAGGTTTTGACTTGAATTCATTAGATTTTTATTTTTTAAATATAAATCTCAATTTGTCTATAATTCTTTGACAGATTTGAAGGCATCTGAGATTTGAAGGTCTATTGGTAATTCTTACAGTAAAAAATTAATTCGGGAATTGAATAGTGTTCGACAAGATTTTCTGAGGAATGAAAATTTTCAAATGAACTCATGAAACTGGCTATCGGAATCTTAACGTTCAAATCGAGACCTAAATTTGCTTAAGAAAGCAAATGCACTTCCGATCTCAGGCGGAGCTCCGACAGCTCTGAAATTATTCTGGTTTCGCCCGAGATGCGGATCTGATAACGAGGAGAAGCATTTGCAAGGAAAGAAGAGAAACGAAGAGAAAAATCTACCTAATTTTCAAAATCTGGTGGCTCCAGAATCAGAACAGTTTTAATCTGAGAGAATTGTGCTTTCCTCGGAGGAATTTTAATTCAGAGAAAAAAAAATTGGTGAATTTATCAAAAATATCTCCGCCGTGGATGGAGCTTCCTCAACAACAACGTCTCTTTGAAAGCGAAGGTATTTTCAGAAACAGAATTTTCATCGTTTTTTCGCATTTTAAATTTGGATCGCCCTGTAATGGTAATTTTTTTTTTTTGAAAAAAAAAAGGAATTAAATATATAGAATTTTGTTTTGTTTTTTTTTTTTTTTTTTGGATGGAGCTTCCTCAACAACAACGTCTCTTTGAAAAAGCTGAAAGGTATTTTCAGAAAACAGAATTTTCATCGTTTTTTTCGCATTTTTAAATTTGGGATCGCCCTGTAATGGTAATTTTTTTTTTTGAAAAAAAAAAGGAATTAAATATATAGAATTTGTTTTTTGTTTTTTTTTTTTTTTTTTTAAATTGTGGTTTAGAAGCATATTTTTTACAGGAAGAATTTTTTTTTTTTTTTTTTTTTTTAATTGTGGTTTAGAAGCATATTTTTTACAGGAAGAAAACCAACACACGACTTTCTTTCGCTGTACAGTCATTCAACAGTCCAACAAGATCCAAGGCCACCTTCTCAAGGTACTTTTTCAAAATTTTTTTTCTCAGTTTATGATCTAAAAAAACATTAGTTTGTTCTTTAGTGCGTTCTTAATATTCTTATTTAGACATGTAAAAAATAGATAAATAAAATTTTAAAAATGGAGTTTAAAGGTTTTTCTTAGAGTGATAATTGTTCTGATGGTTTTCATTTAATTAGAGAAAAAAAAAATCAAAATACTATTATAGATATATTTTTTGTTTGCGGATCACGATTTGTGTATGCACGTGATAAGTATTGAATCATGGATCTGGGCCATGAATTGGGGGTGGGCCATCCTAAAGGGTAGGCTTTGCCAATTTCGAAAAGGAAAGAGTTAGCAGTTAGCAATGAGCACCATCAGATTGGGAGCACTGGTGTGGTCTGATGTTTGTTGATGGGACCCATTTTGTGGAGTTGGCCATGAGGGTGATGTGTCGCATGATTCACATCAGGGCTTTCGTGCAGGTGCATGATATTCACAATCACATTTCACATATCATCCTGTAGAGGAAATAGAGACCCCTATGCATTTTATTCATCAAAATGGTATATGATCATTTAAAGCGTGGATTTCGTCCATATTATTAGTAATAAATTAATGAAATCAAAAGTTTATAACTACTAATTTTGCTTAACAATAGTAGATAGCAATGGTGTAAATGGCTTTTTAAATTATCTAAATCATCTAAAATTGTATATCTAGATTAGCAGTTTTTTCAATGTTCAGTCTGAAGTTTTGTGTGTATGTATAATTTAGGATTCTCGCTGCCTATCTTTTATTTTCTATAATTTGCGATTTCAATATTGTGGTTTTCTTTTTGCTGATTATGTATTCTGTTGGAATTCATCTCTAATTAAAAGTCAAGACGCGTTGCATTCTTCTAGATAATACACTACTATAATTTTTTTAGTTTTTCTTGTTCTGCCATCAAACTTTTGCTTTCACTAAAATCTGAAAAAAATTTTTTTTTTGAAACAAAAAAAAAAAAGGCTTCTCCACATGTTTTGCTGGAGAAGAAAGAAAGAGGAAAGAACAGATATATTTAGTGAAAATATGGGTTAAATAAAATGAAAGGAAATGTATTTAACTTGTACATAGACTATAAATTTTCTTTTGTTTCTACTTTCTAACACATACGATCTGGAAAAAGTAATAGCTTGAGGGACAAAAAGATGACTGTAAGGGCATAATTAAGCTATTTTAATTAGACATAAGCATTGAAATCTCTTATTGCATATTTTTTATTCCACGTGCCAATGGCATAGTAATTTTACGTGCCAGCAGGATTCAATGAAGTGTAGATTAAATAGAATGTTGATAATTTCTTTTCATGCATGAACAGGTTACCTCAAAACTCATGATTTTCTACAACCACTGGAACGGGTAGGTAAGACCACTGCTACTAAAGAAGAAACCGGTATAGAAATTTCATCGCTTGAAAGGCCTCCGCCTCCAGCACCACCACCCTCAGTGGAACACATCCTTCCTGGAGGCATTGGGACTTATAGTATTAGCCACATTTCTAATTATTTCAATCAAAGGATTCCAAAACCGGAGGGCAGCACAATGTTCAGCGTAGCTCAAGCAAGTAGTACAGATAAAAATGATGAGCATTCCAACTGCAGTTCTTATACTGGAAGTGGATTCTCACTGTGGGAAGAATCTCAATTGAAAAAGGGAAAGACAGGGAAGGAGAATGAGGGAGAAAGATCCAACACTGTAAGAGGTAACATTTTCACTTTGCCTGTTTGTTTGCATGTGCCAGCAAAGTCCATTATCATTTAGAGATTTAGGAGTTAATGACCTCAACTTTCATACAAAAGTTAGTGAAATGCCTGGGAGAAAAGCACATGACAGTATAGCATACCCAAGTAGGCAAGAAGAGAGATGAATAATATACCTTCACTTCCCAGCTGTTTTGTATTTTCGGGCTAATTGATGAAAAACATACAAACTGTCCTTGCAGATACTGATATTGCTATTTTAGAGCTAGGGTTTCAACTTGGTTTTGGTCTTTTGGACTATTATTATTCTAATACTGAATGTTACTGCAAAAATCAGTTTTGAGGGACCCAAATATCCACAGACTGTCCAACGTGAAATCAACCAAGATTGTGTTTGCTTCTTGGTGGGCTGTGCAAAGAGTAAGAATAGGGCCCAAAATAGACGCCCAGTCGGTTGTTTGCCTCTCGCATCCTGTAAAAAGATACATTATTGGAACATAAGGAAAATCACTTAAATCATGATGTTGATTTTTCATAACAAAGAGTCTTTTAAAATAGGTTATCAATTAGTTAATTAGTTGCATTGTAATCCAGTTTATCATAATGCAATAAAATAGTAATTATAAATTTTAGACTTGTTCCCATCTTATGTCCATTAGAAAAAAAAATGTACGAGTTTCCGCTGTACCTTTCTTCTATAATTGCAATCTGTCCAAGTCCGACAAATTTAACATTTTTAATGGGAAACCAATTAAAATAGGCGATCAATTTTTGAAATATTACGGGAACCTTTTGTTTTTCTTTATTAGAGTATGATACTGGTATTGAAGCTTTTTGTCTTGATGGATAACAGAGGCGGCGGCGACGGCTGGACATTGGACATCGTCGGAGAGGCCGTCACAGTCATCGACGAATAACCATCGCAATAGTTTCAGCCCTCTCTCTTCCTCTCAGTCTGTCTCTATCTCCTACGCTTTTTATTTCTCCTCCCAATTTAGGTAATTAATTAACAACTAATGATGATGAAAATCAATTGGTAAATTTAACAGGCCATCAGGGCAGAAGAGCCATAGCTTTATGGAAATGATAAAATCAGCCAAAGGCAGTACGCAAGATGATAATTTAGATGATGAGGAAGAGTTTGTTCTTAAAAAAGAAAGTTCTTCCCCTGTCCATAAAGGTTTGTTTCATATGCTTCCCTCTGGTGCTATGAAATAACTCCTCAGAAATTTTGGATGATAGGCTATTACGGCATTTCCTTGTCATTAATTTAATTAGTTTGTTTTAATTTGTAGGGGAATTGAGGGTGAAAGTGGATGGGAAGAGCACCGATCAGAAGGCTAACACGCCTCGGTCAAAACACTCTGCCACTGAGCAACGGAGGAGGAGCAAAATAAATGACAGGCAAGTATCTTATCAACTGCTTGTCTGCTTCCCGCTGTAAATTCAAACGATCTGTTTCCTTGAAGCAATTATACTTGACTTTTATTTATGTTGCATTAGAGTCTGGGATCGGCTATGAAATAATTGAGTAGCGGATATATGATAACAGTGATTTACAACTCCAAATATTCACTTGCCTTCCTTTTTTTGGTATATGCTACCTTTTATATCCTTTATTTTGCCTGGGTGGTTATATTATGAAGTTTTATGGAGAACGATAGACATATGCTGAAGCTAGGTTCCATCTCTTTTTCATTGACCACCCAAGGCCAAGAATACACAATATGTCACTTGTTGCTTCATCCAGAAAAAGTACACAAAAGTAATAGCTGTGGGCTTCATGCGGCTACGACTGGCATTATGGCCCTTATTTAAATAGGACGCAATTAATGTTTTATCGCCATGTATAAAAAAATGCATTTGCGAACAGCATGCTGTACTGTACTTATGAAGTTATCATTGCAGATTTCAGATGTTGAGAGAACTCATTCCTCATGGTGACCAAAAGAGAGACAAGGCTTCATTCCTATTAGAGGTGAAAGAATTGCTTATATTCTTCTGTTTCTTTATCTTAGAGTACAATTATAGTGTAATCTCAGAATGTTGGCGGCATCTTCATATTTTGCAGGTAATTGAGTACATTCAATTTTTACAGGAGAAAGTACAAAAATATGAAGGGTCGTACCAAGGATGGAACCACGAACCTGCAAAATTGGTGCCATGGGTAAAATTCTGTTCTCCCTCTTGTATTTCTGTATGGTATGAAAACAAGCATAGATTGAATTTTTAGGTTTAGTGCTGGTTATCATTGTAAACCAACATTTGACTCTGTCCTTCATAAAACAGAGAAATGGTAACAGGCCCACTGAAAGTTATGCTGATCAATCTCAAGGCATAAATGGTGGTGCTGGTCCTTCAATACTGTTTGCTTCAAAATTAGATGAGAAAAACAATACCCTTTCTACAACAATTCCAGGATGTGCACAGAACCCAGTAGAGTCTGATATAAATTCAGTTAGTACCTTCAAACCGACAGATCACCATCCTGGAATAACAAATAGTGCAATCCCTTTTCCTATGTCGCTGCAGCCAAACTTCTTCAATTCTGGTAGAAGTGGTGGCATAGTCAATCAACTTCCACCTAGAATGGTATCAGATGCTGAAAACATTGCAAATCAACCTCAGCCCCAATCACATAATACCAGATTGTGTACAAGTGATGGAGCTGTTGCTGCTGATAAGCTGAAAGAACAGGAGCTTAGCATTGAAGGTGGTACAATTAACATCTCAAGCGTGTACTCTCAAGGGTGAGCTTGTATTCTCAGACAAATTTATTTCTTGAATGTCCTTAATTCTGATTTTGAACCACTCTTGGGCTTTTGCATTTTCATGGAAGTTGTGGTTTATGTTAATTAACATTGAAAATATTAGACTCAAGATCTTTCTAGGAACCCAGACACTTAGCAAAAACTAAATACATCTTCTGGCTTGATCTGTACTCTATTATTCGTTTGGGACACTGGTGTCAAATGCATATCTCCTTATTCAGGTTGTCCTTTTGATGTTTTGTCTCACTCTGCCTGTTTGATGTAGCACTTGAACAGTCCCGATAGGGTAAGAGATGGCACATGCTGCTACCATATTCTTAGATATTGAATCTTCATCTGTATAGTTTAAATTTTGGTTACATTAATTAATTCCCGTTTAAGAAGACAAAATTTGTTGCCTCCCATTATATGATTTTGTTTCTCAAGTCATCTAAATTCTAAAGGTTGTTCCTTGGGCATAAGAACAGGATAGAACTCATTTGTCATAGGTTCAATTATAATTTTTTTTTTTTTGATTAATTTGATTTGGTTTAGGACTTGAATTCAAGAGCTCTCAGTCTTGAAAATGATTCCAGTATATATATTTGCATAGCGAGTGAGTCATATAACATAGATGATACTGTATAATACAGGTTGCTAAATACTCTGACACAAGCACTGCAGAGTTCTGGAGTAGATTTGTCACTGGCCAGCATCTCAGTGCAAATTCAGCTAGGAAAGCGAGCCAATAGAAGACCAATTCTTCCGACATCCATTGTTAAGGTTTATTGACATGCCTATTTGATTATTAATAAAAATTTGTACCTCAACAGAACCATGGAAACACTTAATCTTTTATTTTCTTATCTTGGCATAGGATAACGAGGTCCCCTGTAGCAATCAAGGGACAACACGGCCAAGAGTCTCAGATGGAGAAGAATCCGGTCAGGCCTTAAAGAAGCTCAAGACAAGTAAAAGTTAGTACAAAAGAAGTAACCATAATATTCTTTTTCTTTCTCTTTTCTTGACTTAATTTATTCAATTTTTTTTTTTTTTTTTTTTATTTGATAGCTCTGTGCCCATCATGAGGGTTTATTCATGTCTTCTTCTGGTTTATAAACTATCCAGTTGAGACCCAGATGATTTGTACATGTAGTTGTTTTTCGTTTGTTAGGACGCACAGATTTCCTAACGAACAAAAATTTGTATTATTCATTTTCCTTTTTATGTATCCTCAAATAGGCTTCCATATTCTAATGTAGAGAAGCTGCTTTTTCATTAAAGCTTCTACTTATGATAAGTTTCTAAATTACCAAGTTGCCATTACTTTAATTGACATAATTTTTTGTAAGATTATTATTAATAATTGATTGATTATGTAATTTGGATTTTTAATGCTGAATGAGAAGTGGATGAGATTTATGGAGCAGCAGAAGAAGAAGATTATAATCTTATTGTTTTGTTTGAACATGAAAAAGATAAATGCATTCAAATGAAGCTCAAACTTTAATTAACTCCGTTACAGAAAGTTGCATACTAAGGCATAGCTTAGTAGTAATTCATATATGACTTGAATTTCCAAGTTCGAATCTCTTTCTCCCAATACTCAAATAATAATAATAAAAAAACTCATAATGGAAAGTTAATATGAATTTAAATTAAAATATTAGTTTATTTTAACAAATTATTTGTATATATAAACTTGAGTAAAAATAAATATGAAAATGAATGTTTGATTTTCTCCAAATATAATAATGATAAACCAGAATGGCTTCTGTAGAAAAAATTGAAATAATACTGATAAATATATATATAAAAAAAAAAACATCTTAATATTTTTCATTTTTCTGGAACCAACATAGTACTTTTGTTTGATATATTTCTTTTTCTAATCTTAATCTTTCAAACTCTAATTAGTAATTAAAGAGTAAATAACGGCATCGGATGAGGTAAACGATCAATTTCATCAACCAAATTTGCTGTTGGGTTGTTCTCTTCTCTTGTAGTGTCACTAATCACATTTTCGTGCGACAATTACTCATATTATTATATATATCTTCAGGCCGTCTTCCAAATTTGACAATTCAATTTCTCAGGGTAGGTGTGAAAGCTAACGTTACCAAACATTACCACTGTTAAAAAAAGATTATGTAACTCAAGATTTGTATCTTTACAATTTTTAATTTGTGAAGCGGTTATAATCTCTTTTTATATGTGATTTTTTGAAGCACCGTCCACTTATTTTTTTTCAGAAAGAGTATAAAGATTTAGGTCCTTCCAGTAACGTGTGCTTCTCGATGATCAAACTTATATTTTCACTTTTACAGAGATAAATATCGTTTAGTACTCTAATAACACTTCATTAGTAGACATGTCCCAACCAACGCCTTATTTCTAGACATAGAAATATGGTTTTGGTCTTTCCTTTGAATGATTCTTCTTTCATAGAAACATTATGTTCTCTTAGACTTTGATTAGAGTTTGAAAGTTAAAATAGGATCATAAAGGAATAAAATTTTCTCTTTGACTGAAGGAGTTGTTTTTCCTTTTTACTAATGAATGAAGCATGACTGGACTTTTACAGCATTATGATAGGATGTGAAAGCAATATCTTTTTCTCTTTTTGTTCTTGTGTTGCTTAATCTACGGTGAAAGCAACAGGTTAATTATTTGATCAATGACTCTCATTTGTTGTCACTCCACTAATGTACTATTCCCAGACCAATTCCATTTATAATTTTATTATTCAACAAAACAAATCATATTTTTGTTTTGTACAATTTTATTTGATTCAAAAGAAAATTATAAATCCTTTGAATACCATTCTGCTAGTTTAATTTTGTGAGTAAAGAATATAAACTAAAGAAATAAAACTTTATAAAAACTATTCATTTGAATATATATATATATATATATTTCACTTTTAAATTAAAATTAAAATTAATTAATAAAATAGATATCATAAAAAATGAAAATTTTATCAATGAAATGCACGAATTCCTCGTGTTCTATGAGGATTTCCCCTGGTTCTTCATTAGTAGTAAAGGATATTATTGGGTTATCACATAATTAATCACTGTGAATTGACTAACAACTGTTTTTCTATCATTAAATCCCTTTAATCCTTCTTATCAAAAACAAGAACATGTCATTGTCGTTGGGAAATCACTTTGTCAAATTATTTTGAGTGTTTAGGACTTTAGCTAACAGCAAACAACATTTTTAATAAAATAACCAAGATTCTGGACCCCACCTAAAAGCAACTGTATTGTTCATTACATTACATTACAAATCAAGCTTCACCTTAGGTTGCAAGTTCAAATCCGTGGAAGTGGCATAGCACAATAGAGATCTGATACATTTTCTACATTAAGATGGGTCTATACACTAGATCTTATTTGTTGAGCGGAAACTCGCCGCAAAGAAACCTTAGCACCACGGCGCAGCTGTTGCCAGTGGGTTACTCTCCTTCCCTTAAGTTTTCTTCTAAACCGATCTTACATGTTTTTGGTTGTACTCGATTACTCTACCTCTATTGCTCTTGTTTTATAATAATAATAATAATAATACTTTCTTTCCGGTTTTTCCAAAAAAAAAAAAAAAAAAAAAAAAAAAAAAAAAAATTCTTTCCGGTTTCCAAAAAAAAAAAAAAAAAAAAAAAAAAAAAAAAAAAAAAAAAAACAAGTAATCAGAGGATTGCCAGTCTGTTTTGGCAGAATTTGTAAGTTAATTCCAAAAATACTTCAGCATTTGGAAAGCCAACTAATCAGAGCAACGGGTGACATGCATTTTATATGGAAACAAAACCATTTCCTCACCACGATCTTTTTCCATCTTCTAAACTATATAAAGGAATAACAGAAATATCATTGTCAAACACTATTTTATTTGGGTTAGCCGAATATTTAATATTGAATATTTTCATTTCATAAAAACCATCTTTCTGTTTGGTCTGATTCTTATTCCTTAGTTTGCAACAGACAACCATATGCTCCCTTCTTAACAAGTCATCCCATGAGAGAAAACCAGAAACGAACAATGTACTAATGATTCCCTTAATCATTCTGTTTCGAATAGAGATATCCATTTACTATATCAGTGACAAAAGAATCAAGACAAATCGAGGATACAGTACTGTTTACCTGGTAGGCAATAAATTTTTCTCCAAAACAAGACCCGACAGTTAAAAGGAGAGAAAGGCAATCATCATCTCAGTAGGTATGTGAACAGAAATGTTTAAAGATTTGACATTTGCTAGAAACTCACATTATATCATAAAAACGAACGAACCAAGTGAAAAAAAAAAAAAAAAAAAAAAAAAAAAAAAAAAAAAAAAAATAAAATACAAAATGAAGGATGAAGAGTAAACCTTCCTTGAGGCCACATTTTTCTGGTAGAACTCCACAATCTAATATTTTGCATATCCCTCTGTGTACAACCCGATCTGTAGATTTAACATCACCCCCTGTAAAAAAAAAAAAAAAAAAAAAAAATACAAAATGGAAGGATGAAGGAGTAAACCTTCCTTGAGGCCACATTTTTCTGGTAGACCCACATCTATATTTGCATATCCCTCTGTGTACAACCCGATTCTGTTGATTTAACATCACCCTGTAATGGCAGGGTAGCTTCTATACATGAATTGGATTATTCGCATATACTAAAAGATGACAGCATACTAAAACCGCTCCACATAGATCATATAATCTCAGGCTTTCTTGAAGTTTACCAACCCATTATAATCTTCTCGATTGCCTCTTTATCACACAATCTTCCTTTATCACTATTCCTTCTTGTGTAGAGAGTCATCCCGTTGATCTGTGGTAGAATTTTACTAGCACTGTGGAGAATGCTTGGATCAATATCACGATCTCCTTAAGTAACTGTCACGTGCTCCTCAATGGATCCAATATATCTTCTTCTGATGGCTGTAAGCACTCTTCTGGGTTCGAATAGAAGTAATCCTCCTCCTTTGGCCTGTCTGGGATCACCAATCTCTTTGTCGGGTTCCCCATCCGATTTGAATGTGCTTCTCTCACAGCATAAGAGAACTCATCCCAGCTCAGCAACCCATTACTGTACCTGTCTATCAGATCAACCAAAAGCCTTCTGTCTAGTAAAATTGTCTTCTTGAACCCAAGGAACCTGAAGAAGCATTGGACAAACAGAGGTTATAATAGATTATTACCAATTTTATAAAGGACAGGAGAAGGAGAAGGGAATAGGTCAGATCAAACCACATTAGGAGAAATGTTAGAAATCTAAGTCAATTGACATAACAATGTTTCAAAAACCAACAAAAAGAAGACCATAGATTTCAAATAAGAGAAAGAGTCTAAGTTTGTTAATAGATCCACAGCCAGAATAAAGAACTCTGTCTGGATTTAGGGGCATACACAAATTAGTCTTCTGATTGAGACAGAAAATTTGGGATCTTAAAACTGGAAGGAATTTGAATTCCAAAAATTATTTATCTGAAGCCAAAGAAAATCACTAAATTAGTTTAAAATGATAAAATAATCTACTTTTTGGGGGTGGGGAAGGGGGCTGTTGATGAAGTAGCGGAAATATACCTCCGATGGCCTTCAACAACTTTAGCCATGTTTCCATCATATGTGGGCACAAAAATATCACTCTCCAATGAAACAAGATAATCTAATGCTGCCATCTGGGATGAGTGATTTTGAAAAAACCTAAGGTCTGATGGTTCTAACAGTGTTTCCTTTCTAACCTGTAAGAAGAACCGATAAGTCATCCATTAATAAAGGAAAGCCCCGAAAAGTACAAAGGTTATAAGCAGATGACAACAGTTTCAATCTACTAACCAGTTTTGGATAAGCTGTAGCAAGACTTGCCATTCTTCTTTCTCCACCATATATTTCACCTGCTGCAATATAAATTTGAATATTTGGATCAATGTCTAACGCCCTCAGTGTAAGAGCTGTTTCCTCTGGTGTCAAAGGGCATAATCCATCTTTTCGTTTTAAGTCAGAATTTATTATTTTCTCTTTCCACCAAGGATAAGCATATCTGTTTATATAAGAAAATCAAGTGACAGAATGACTATTAGATTAACATTTCAGGATATTAATGCCAAATAGAACACAGAGATCTGCATAGCACACCTCATTCTTGTCAATTCTTCTACTTCCTCATTGTTGCAACCTTGAGCGCAGCCAGAAAATGCCAGCATGTCCATTTCATATCTCAGGTGGAGTACTAAAAATGGACCATTCTGCCTAAGAAGCTTTATAACTCTTTTACCCAACTCCTCTATCTGAGAAGTGAATCTCAAAGCACCGAAATTTACTCGGCAGCGCAATTTCTGGATCTCCAGAGGTTGATGGTTATTTGCAAGTCGAGCATCAGTTCTATTAAGATGTAAAACTTTGTACTTCTGTATCAAAGGGAGAATCTGCAAAGAGCAAATACAGAAAATACTAAGTAAAAAAATATATACATAGATATAATAACAAACACATAAGTATAGAAAGGCCGAACATGGACATGGATCAGATGTTATAAATTTAAGCTAGATGGAGTATGTTTCAGAGTAACGTGTGGCAACTTTGGTATAAACCACAGAGGAAATAATGACAAAGTACAAACCTGGTTATGATAATAGGATATATCAGACCAACTAACTGGCGCCATGGTATAGGTCATCCCTAGTTCCATTCTCTTCTTCAGCCTAGGAGGCAATTCTTTCAAAATCCGAACCTCGTCTCTCAAAGATGTAATAAAATGATCTACATCAAATATATCCTGGAACTCACTGCAATAACAAAATATTCTTAGAAATGAAAATATATATTCCGAACATGAAAAAAGAGAAAGCCACTTGTACATATTCTGAACTAATAGCATTCAATAGCTTTAAATTCTGCATGAAAACAAGAATTACTCACCTGGGATCAGCCCAAAAGGAAGTTTTATCGAGCTCTGGTACTATAAGCGTAACATTCAAATACCTTGCAATAGCAACCATATCACAAATCTGCAAAGGATGAAAAAAGACAGAGACTAGTTACCAAATAAATGCAGAAACATCAAATGTAACAGTATGATCACACATCCTTGTATAAACATGACAAAGTGCACTTTGGTAACCACTCACCGCTGCTCTCATTTGGTTTAGACCTCCATTGCATGAAACCATGAGGTATCCATTGTTCTTATAAACTCCTAATCACAAAAAAAAAAAGGCCAAAAAAAAAAAAAAAAAAAGTTCCTTATAAACTCCCTAATCACAAAAAAAAAAAAGGCCAAAAAAAAAAAAAAAAAATATATGAACTTGAATTTAGAAGTTAAAAAAAAAAAAAAAGCCAAAAAAAAAAAAAAAAAAATATAGAACTTGAATTTAGAAGTTGCATCAATAATCACCAATATTATGAATAAACTTTACTGCAACCGCTCAGTTAGAAAATAACTCCATAGTTAAAACACAAAAGAGCAACAATCCACAAAACATGTCATGCTTCTAGAAGAAAGGTATCAGAAGCAATCAAGGTCTTCTAATGAATGGTCCACCAGAGAAGGTCTAGTTAGTATGCAGATATTCTGCTAATGGGATAACTAGCAGCATCAGCACTTCATTAGATACAGAACATGCAAAACATTTCATCAATTCATAAGCTTTCTAGTATGTCTCATTTCTAAATAACAAGCTTCTAGCTCCAAAAGAAACCATCCTGTGTGTTCTTGTGCTGAAACAAACAATCTAAAATGAGAGAAAGCGACAAATATCATATCCAAAAAAGCATCTTCTATCTAGCCAATAACATAAGGAATTATAAAAATTATATAAGAATCTCTCATTTTCTTTTCTTTTTTTTTTTTCTTCTAACTGTGGAAGGAATAAAATTTCTAATCACGTTTGGGGAAAAAAATGGCATTGCGATCACACAAATCGTACGATTTTAAACAATAATAACACCATTGATTGACTTACTCTTCGGTGGCAACACTCTAGCAGGCAAAACGGAAAGCTTCTCCTCCAAAGCAGCGGCGGATTCATGCGAAAAACAAGAAGGCCATCCTTTCAAAACCCTAGGTCCCCACATCTCACCGATCGTCGTCAATTGAACAATACATGTCCACAACAACACCGAAGTGGTGGCGCGTATCATCCACATCTTCATTTTCGACCTCGATATAGTCTTAACCTTCTCCACTCCTTTAACCATCCCCATATCCTTCTCTCTCTCTCTTCTCTCCCCAATTTCACCACTCTTTCTCTCACTCCTTTCTATCCTGCACATTTCTCTCCATACACTTACCTCTTCAAAACGACGAGTCGTTTTCTCCTCTTATCTCAATTTTTTGACAATGCAGGATTGCTAAGGGCAACAGACAGCCCTGATTTTGCAATGAATTCAATCACATCAACGGGAAATAAGTAAACTTCGCTTCTTCCCTTATTTTTCCAATCGGAATCTTCAAGATCCAAAATTGCCAAAAGTAGAAACAGATCAAGAACGAGAAAACAAAATCAATGCAAAAAGAAAATTTCTAATTTAACACATCAAAACAATATCACCATTTCCTTGTCGAATTATACAAATTCATTCCCCAATTTACCTTCAAAAACCTCAGTTCACTCTCTCATTACCCAAAATCATCAACTCCAAAACTCCAAGAAATTCCAATCAAATGAACCTCAAATTCAATTAAGATCTCGTCAATTCCCCGGCGAGGTAGATTGTGAGAACTCGCCGGAAACCGTCGCCGGCGTTCACAAAAGCATACAGACACAAAGACAAGAAAGAAGGGAGAGAGAGAGAGAGGGGGGGATTTATTATTACAACAATAACCAGAACGCGGTGTGGCTGAGATAAAAGCTAATTGGTGTGTGAACCGTACACCGTTTGATCACTCGCACATCCTTTTGTTTTTTTTTTGGGCCCTTTAATACACCATGGTTAACGTTGACGATGGTTTACGTGTTCACTCTAGTTAAGTTGAGACAATTCTCGGCCAATAAATGCTCGCCAGCTAAATGTAGATACGCTGGGACCCATCAGAATTATACATCCTTAACGTGGCAACTGATCGAGCCGTCAAAGAAGGGCACGTGGCTGTATGATATGGCCGGCTCATTAGTGTTCCGTATAATGGGTTGGTTTGCGGTTCGTTCTCGCCGTTGGATTCGTGGCATTTACTGTGTTGTCGATACGCCGACAATATATCACGAGAAATTGCTAGACTTTCGCCGTCGATTTGATCAATGGTTAAATACTGATCTAAGAAAATCTGCTCATCACATGTTTTTTATTTTTCTTTGTCTTAATTAAATTTATTCTTCACATAAAGAAATTATTATCAATAGATAACTTTTTTTTTAAGTTATAAGGTAATTTTTTTAAAAAACTTTTTTTTAATTAAATTTATTTTTTAACGTGAATACATATTTTATATGTAGATTTTCATTCTTAACAACTAAAACAATAAAAATTATTAGAAATTCATAATATTTATTAAAATTCAAAATTAAATAATTACGAATTTTGTTTAATATAAATTAATTACTTAAATTAAAAATACTGAAGATTTAATTTATCACATCAATTCAACCACATTTGGGACATATATTATATTTATCTGAAATATCATATTATTTAGAATGGATAAAAAATAAATAAAATAGAGACGCTGAAAAAAGAAAGTATCATAAGAAAATTAAATATATTTTAGATCAATTTTATTCGTCACCTTTATTAGAACGATTTACCTAAATATCATTTCGAAATAAATGTAGCAATATATATACAGATAAAAAAAAAAAAACAGAATGCCACAGTTATTTTAAATAAATCTCTAAATTTATTATATTTTTAACTAAAAACTTTGTGAAATGAAGTAGTATTCATAGTTACTTGATTTATGAATAATTGCTCACTGCTCACCTGACTCTAAATCAGAGACACCAAAACAAATAAATGCAGTGAATCATGAAATGTTATGTTGAAAATAGTAATTTATAGGATTAATTCTAAAAAATAGTACAAAATGAAAATTGATATACTGATTGGATTAAAATGAATTTTAGAAATACAATTTTGGTAAGCCAAATAATTTTCTTTTTTTATTTTGTCTATTTTATGAGTCGCTTCAAGAAAATTTAAAATTGATTAATTAGGAAGGTAAAAGACAATATATCCAGTTGGATAAAACTTACACTTACTGACAATAAATAAATTTATGATGTAAATAATTTTTTCCGAATAGATAAATATTAATTTAATTTGTCCTGGTGTTGTTTTACTTTTTCCTCTTTCTTCACGTTTTTCATGTTCTGTTTTTTCTTTTCTGTTATAAGGTAATTATTTTAACTTTCTCGAATGTTATTTTTTTGCATTATTTTGATTTATTTGGACAATTATGTAATTTGTTAAAATTTTTTTAAAAAATGATGATTTTTGTATTTAGAGTCTTGTAATGTGGTATGTCCTTATATTGAATTTAGTGATTTAAATTATATATTCATTAAATTTACAACTAGTTCATGTTGTCTAATTAGTCACTTTGAAGATTTATCAATCTCTTAATTTTTATTAAGATTTTTTATTAAATTAGCAAAAATAATTATTTTAATTATAATAATTGTATTTTATATTTGGAGGAAAAATCATACTTTCACATACTATTTGTATTAATTTGAAATTTTTAATGAAATTCTAATATATTATATTTAAAAATTAATAATTATCCTTAAATATTTATGATTAAGAAAAAATCCATTTTTTGAACAGTAAGTAAATTGGAGCGTTTATTACAGTGCCAAGCCAACTGTGGATATTGTACTAAAGCGGAACAGCCGTGAATTCCTGTCTGAGTGTCGGTTGCTCCGTGAAGACGGAGTTTAACGGCAGTACGTGTCAGAACGGTCGAGCAATACAAAGCGTAAGATTTCATGTAGGGCCAGGTGTCAGAATCTCGGCTCGTTCAAAAACTTGGATCCAGATTAAGTTTGATTAAGACTAGAAGTGAACATCACGGATGAAGATCGTCACGCGCCAATCACGCTATGGGAATAAAAGCCGGCGTCAAAGCTTAGCTGGCCGACAATGAAAATTGGATTTGTACTTGATTGTGAGAGAGTGAACTACACGTGGTCGAAGGGGATGTGGGTGTGGAGAGACGGAGTCGAGACAAGTGCAAGGGTTTAGCCTCTCTCCAGTGAGGTACGGTACAATGTCAGGCGTCTTTTCCATTGACACCAAAATGTTCCTTTCATTGCCTTTTTTTTTTTTTTTTTTCTTAGCCTCTCTTCCAAGTGAGGTACGGTAAATGTCAGGCGTCTTTTCCATTGACCCACCAAAAAATGTTCCTTTCATTGCTTTTTTTTTTTTTTTTTTTCAATATTTTTGTTTATATGGAAAAGGAAAAGCTATTAGTGTCAAAAAAATAAAAAAAAAAACATGAGAGCTATCAAATTGTTAATTGCCAAATGAAAAAAAATTAAAATTTAGGCTTTGGCAATATATGTTTTCGACACTTAATATTATTTTAAAAAAAAAAAAAAAAAAAACATGAGAGCTTTATCAAATTTTATTGGCTAAATGAAAAAAAAATTCAAAATTTAGGCTTTTGGCAAATATGTTCGACACTTATATTATTGTTAATTATTATTTTAGATATATTTTTATTTATCAACTTACAGTCTTATCCAAAGTCCATTAATTTGTTACTTATTCGGAAGTTAGTTGGCCTCACAACATGTCAGCTCATATTCACATGATTAGTTAGTCATTTTTTAATCGGTTACTCTTGCTTTTAGAATTTTTAAATTGAAATATTATATTGTTGAGATAATCTCATTTCCATTTCACTACAAACTTGAAAGAATTTAGTATAATACCAACAACAACTTTAAGGTCCATCAATATCAAGTATGTTTTTCGCTTCAGGAGCTGCATCACTTAATTGCACACAATCAAACTCTAGTCGAATGTTATATTTAACAATAAAAAATGAGTACAAAATAGTTAATAAAATTAATAGTATCGATTAAATATGAAAAAATTATATGAAATGTAAAAAATTATAACATCTGTGAATTCAAATAGTATTTTTTAATTAAAATCAAAGGGTTTAAATTACACCTTGATAGAAGAAATTCTTTTTTCTTTTAAATGGTAAGTTTTAAAAAAATTAAAAGTAAAGGTGAGGGTAACTGTTGGCCAACTCTAATTCCCCCATTCACAGTATATAGATATATATTAAAATAATGATTAATTAAAACTTATTTGTATAAAATAAATATTGGAGGCAATTGGCGTTTTTACAAAGGGAGAGCTTATGAATAATTTAGCTTTCTTAATTTGGTAAAAGAACCAAAGTGGAAGCAAAAGGAATACTTAAAAATGGGTTAAAATATAAATTTCAACTTTTGAAATTATATATTTGCAAATTAATATGCAAACAATGAATAGACAAAAATTGGAAGCAACCATCCAATATTTTCAAAGGTGTGAAAATGAGGTAATGAAAGAAACAAAGACTTTCAATTATTGGCATATAAAATATTTAGTGGAGAATGACATTTGGATTTTGGTGAACTCCAAATATTCTATCTTTCTCTCTCTATTACAATATTAATTGCAAGTGTTGATGATTTCACAACTCAACCAAATAGTACTTTTTTTTCTGCTACAAATGGCAAGGAATCAAAGCAAAAAATTTGAAACTTTCATTGCAACAAAAGACATACAACACCTAAATTGAATCTCACTTTTCTTTTCTCCTCACATGGAGAATGAGGGTTTTCTTGCCTAACCATAATAACTGCCATTGGACATATACCCAAGCTAACTTATATTTTTCCTTCTAATGTAGGGAATTCCAATTCAAATTTTGATAGGTATAACTGAATTCTAATTTCATTATTTAAAAGAATATAAATAATTCACTTGATTTACTAAAAGATCAATGAACTCTATTATTTACCAGCAGTAAAATTTTATATCTGATTTATATGAGTATTTATATTTATGGTTTAGTTGGTGTAAAAATTATTGAATTTCATACTTAATTTCACTTTATATAAATTGTATTATATTAATTTTGGGGGAAATGCATAAAGTCAGCATTTAATCTCATTATCTTGATTGGTCCCATATTTGATGGTGTGGAATATTTATCTTTGGTTAGAGATCTCTTGTATGCCATTCTTGGCCATTTGTCTACATTCTACCTTAAGAATACAGCTGTTTGTTTGCATTAGTACTAATCTTTAATCTCCAACTTCAACTTAATTAAAGTAATAGATATTTGAGTTTGGAAGGGAACTAATATATATATATATATATATATAAAGATTGCACATGCATGTACAAAAAATATTGCAATCCAAATCAACAATTATGAATTGCAATGCTTTGAAGAAGATTAACGGAGACTCATAAGAGTAAATCATGTTTAATCTGATTGGTATTTTCATTTACGTGATGAAAGAGAGATTTTGAGTTCGAATTCTCTTAACCACCACAAGTTATATAAAGTAATGATTTGAGTTCGAGTTCAAGTTATTGCATAATGAATAAAGTTTATCTTTTCATTTCCTTATTTCTAGCAACCGATAAGAAAAAGTTTCATTATATCTCAAACTCCAATATCCAATCTTCTGAATTTCTATTAGTTAGGACAAAAAACATCAAATCAGCAAATGCCTACGAGAGATCAGAAAAAAAAAAAACTTCTAAATAGATTTTAATATTGTTAAGGAAAATTAAAGGATTTTAGTAGCATAAAACATTTTCTGCTCTGGAATTAACTCTGTAAATAATGCTACCCTTTTAATATTTCTTTATTTAATATGCCTTGTTATCAATAATTATTCATTTAATGCTTTATTGAAAATGCATGTAATATCAATATAGAGATGTATTTTCAGAAAAATGTAAATAAGAAAATTATTGTTGAAACAGTATTAATTATCTTTTCTTTTATAATTAAAGATCTAATCCGTAAATAATTAAAGATCTAAAATATTCTATTTCTTAATAATATTTTTAAATCAAAAAATGAAATGAAAAGCATAAAAAGAAAATTAATCACGAACAAAACCAACTACCATATCATGTCTGTCACAAGAAAGGTAGACACTTTACTGAGGGAGATGTCCAATCACGAGACCCATACTAAAGAGAATGATGTATTATAACAAATAGAATAATCAAATTTTACGTGATTTTTCTTTTTTTTTTATATATATATACACGTTATTTTTGCAATATGCGGTGTTCCCACCTTTTATTATTATTATTATTATTATTATTATTATTATTCAGGAAAAATTTAATAATCCTGAATAACACCCCAACATGGTAGAATTCTAAATTTTGAAATCCTTACTTTCCAGCAAAAATAATCCTGTTATTTTATGAAAATGATAGAAAAATGAAATTATTAAAATAAAGAAATTAAAATTGTCGGTGAGCATAAAAATCATAAAGATTTGTAGGGTAGTCGAGTTCTAAATAGACACCAAACAATTAAATGGTAGAACCTTCAAATCCAATCTTTAATGGAAGTGGGTCTTCCTCTTCCATCAACCAAATCATGACTGAGACTGTATTTTTCTTGGATTCATTTCATGAGATAAAACATTCTGTCTATCTCAAACGCAATACATTGCCAATCAATACCAGAAAGAAAAAACTAGAAAGATTTGACATTTGAATTATGAGCATCATATTTTTACACTCCAATTGGATATTTTAATCTTAATGCACATACCACTTAATCACACTGGGAAAATTTGCCTCTGTATTAAATTTTGTGAACCTCAGAAATTGGTACACATCATATCCTCATAAAAGCATATTAATGTTCTAGCTACCTATCTAGAACACTACTAGACTCTTCATTTCTTTAATTCCCAAGTCTGAGTGAAAATGATATTATTCTGTTATTCATTATTTACCTGATTTCACTTAAATATGATAATTTTGTTATTGGGTTAATAATTTTGTGTTCAATGTATATTCCATTGATTTATATATGACACAACAAAAGAAAAATTTGATAAATGCAGACTTTTTTTTTTTTTTAACTTTTTAGGTGATCGGCCTCCCAATAATGAGGATTTTAGGTCTCGAACCTCTAATTTATAAGTAAAATTCTGATGGAGATAAAATTTATTTCTACCGATTCAACCGTGAGTTAAGTCTATTAATTTCAACTAAATGTCAAAGAGGCAAGCAAACAATGTGATTCCTGCACAAAGCAGAACAGGTGAAAAAAAAAAAGGGAGAAGGCAGGAAACTCAAAAAGAAACAAATGAGCTTTGATTTTTAGATAGGAAATCAGATCAGACATGTGCTGTTACATAGAACATAAGAAGAAAAATTATGAGAAAAATGTCTCCTTGTAACAAACAAATTCAATTTTCACTGAATCAGCAAGTCAAAAGCTTTGCTAAGATATGAATAAAATAACTCAATGATTAATTAAAAACTATTTGGAAACAGTGAAATCAAACATTACATTTTTCTATTTCATGGATCTTGCACTAATCACTATCGAGTAGTCAGAGCGGTCAAGTCAGTAGTCACGTGCATCCAAATTAGCCTTTGTCGCTGCGCAGCATATCGACAAATATCAATATGAGAAATTATTTTTTTTCCTTTTTAATTTAAATTTCTGACACGGTCCAAAAATTTTTTTCCTTTTAATTTAAATTCCTGACACAGTCCAAAATTTTTATTAGGAAAAGGGTTTAATCCCATCCCACTGTATGTAGTCAATATTATGTTATTACGAATAAAAATAATTATAAAGTCAAAATATCAATCCACTCTTTTTAGTCTGGGAATTGGCTACAGTACAAAACAACGGTAACTAGTACTGCCGACCCTGTCGCCCTCTCCATTGTAACTCCATCTTTCAAAATGGTTTTTCCATCTTTTTCATGGGTTAGTTTCGACTGATCCATCAAAATCTATTTCTTCCTCTTTAAGGTCAAAGAACCTCAAACTCTTAACACTAGAATAGCTGAAAAGCTAACAATAAATACCAGACCTTCATGTCTGCTAACTAACAATTCAAAAGAAAAGATCAGTTGCATCTACTCCACTGGAAAGAAATTGAAAGGGACATTTACAAGAAAGTTTTCATTGTATCATACATTTAGAAAGTGGATTTCTATTTACTTTTGATAAGAAAATGAAATGAAAAGATAAAACCAAGTACAAACTCTAAAACTGAACATTTACATTTACAAAAGAAGAGATTGTAACCAATGAAAAAAAATTAATAAACATTCTTTACACAGAAATCAATGGAATGAAATAAAGAGAGGTGCAGCAATGAGAATACAATACTGATGAACCTAAAGCTTTTATGTGCAGAAGGTCTCCCAGTGAGTTGCTTATTCCAACGGCCAATGCAGCTTCTCTCTTGAAATTTTAAGAAGCAGTAGTCTATAGCTTCCTTTTCTCATCATCCTGCAGGTCACAAAAGATCCAAGATAATGTAAGCACAAAATGAAGCATGGGCAAGAAACCCAATCTCCAGGGTAAAATAGGTTTCTCGAGATTAAATTACAGATTATGTATGTTTTCAAGACTCCCCTACTAATTCCACCAAAGGAAGATTTTTTTTTTTCAATTCAAAGTTCAATGAGCTTGAGCTATATAATGAGGGATAGCTTTTTCCTGATCCTGCTCTACCCTAATAATTCCACCAACAGTTGGTGGATGTTCGGTCCAACATTCTCTACAGAGTATGAGGACTAATTAGGCTACAGCTAAATGAAAAGGAAAGAAATACCTGGAACAATGAAATTGATCACATCAATCATAAACCTATTCCTCATCGTGTTGTGAAGCCATGCAGTAAAATACATCTCTATAAGATAATTCAATATACTATCTGAAACAAAATGAATGCAGCAAAACCATGATCCAAGAATTCAGTACCTGCCTTGTCTGGTGCTTTTAGACAAATAAATAGCAGGAACCAGCATGGAACCTGAAATCATCCCTAAATTCACTTTGGGCATAATGTATGATTCAAAAACAACACTGCCTTATTTCCCTTTTCCTCCTAACATCCCACTAGCCTCCTTTTTTGTTTTCCTATCTTCACAAAAGGCATTTGTACAGGATTATAGTTCAGGTGCCAGACTCAGAAGCTACACCCACTTCATTCTCCATAAACAAAGGATAAGGTACCAGACTCAAAGGATAGGGTACCAGACCCCAAGTGGCAAGCCTCTGCTCGACCCATCTGGATGATGGGAGCAAAGACAACAGAGCATCTCCTAGCCATTCCATTCACATTGTACAAATGTATCTTAAACGTATCATTAACATATCAAACATATCTTATTGTTTTGATTAATTAACAAACATATCTTCGAGATTTTGACTTGCACTTGTCAACTTATTGTTTGTCTAAATCAACATTCAAAGCTGAGTTTGATCAAAGTCCAATAAGATGGTCACCACAGAGCCACATCATTCATTTCTCGGGACAAAGGACTAGCCCAAAAATCAATGCTGCAATGAGAAATACAATAGAAATAAAATAACCTATGCAGTGTAATCATAGGCTATGCTTACCGAACTATCCACCATCTTGTCCAAATCATCATCAAAGGTCCCATCACTATCATCTGTAAGACCAAATAGATCATTAGAAATCTTAAGTTCTCAGACTGTTAATATTGGCTCACACATTTTACTTTGCATCTTGTATTGAGGACGCATACCAAATTTACTGGAACATGATAAACAAGACACTAATTAAATCAAAAGTTATAAACATGTAAATCCCTTAACTGGATCACAGGACTAGTAAACAAGGATTGCAAACTTAAATTAAGGAGGTGTTCGATAAAATTAAAAATTAAGAGTAAATTCAGAGCTGAATAATTTTACCATTGAAAAGATTAATGACTATCTAATTGTTGAAATTCAAAAGTTTAAAACTGAAAAATAAGTTATGAATTTAATCATGTTAGTAATGGTAATTATAGTAATAAAGGTCAGAGATGATGGCAGCACAGCATGAATTTTAGGGGTAGCTAACTAACAGCAGCAATAGATAATTAGATATGATGGTAGCAGTGAATGATAGCCATGGGGTACCAATAGAAGTGGTGGTGACAAATGTTGGGATGGTGCAGTAGTTGAAGCAATCGTAGTGGTGGTAGTGAATGGTTTTCATGGTACAAATTGTAGTTGCAGCAATGATCTTGATGGTGATAATAGCAGCATCAGTGGTCATAATCGATGGAGTCTATGATTGTGATGGCAATGGAGTCAATGATGAGAATGGTGGTTATACTGATGGTTACGAAGGTGTAGCAAGTGCAAGTCATGGAAATAGGCGGTGGTGATGAAATTACGGCAATAGACGTGCTGGAGTTTGGTGTGATAACCATGGTGGTATTGTTTATTCATTAACATAGCACAGTAACTACTAACTTCTTTTACTTGACAAGAGTTTTTTTTTTTTTTTTTTTTTTTTTTTTTTTAAGTGCAAAAATAAATAAAAGCATCTACACAAGCTTAAAAAATTAAGTGTTCTGATATTTGGTTTCAAGTGCTTAATAAGTGTTATTAAACATTCCATGATTATTTGGGTTTGATATCCAATTAGTCTTACTCTTTTGAGGAAAAAAATATCAAATGAATTATTTTAATATTTGAGCTATAAATAGGATTTACAACCTGAATATAGACAACAGGCATGCCTTTTAAGGAAAAACATGCAAACATGTAGAAAAATTAATTAGTTACTAACACACACCCAGTTTATAAAAGATGATGTACCTGGGCCTTCATCACTTTCTCCACCCAGGAGGAATACATCCAAATCTTGGTCAGCAGATGATAGGGATGATGCTTTAGTTTGCTGGTTTGGTTTTTTCACCTCCTGTTTAGAAGTTACTGTGGCTTTTGGAGGTTCCTCCACTTCATTGCCTTTTACATACTCCACAGAATCCTGTGCAGCCTGCTCCATGTACCGCTTCTCATAGCTAAAACCAATGATAGGGTTTACCGAGTATAGCAACTAAAAGACGCACAAAGAACAGTAACCTAGATAAAAGAGCTCCTAGGAGAAGTCAAAGTACCACATGGTCCAGACAATATAGCGTACATAAGCTGACAATCATTTACATCTCTGATGTATCTAGCAACTTTAACAACATATGATCATTTAGATTAAAGCTCCTGATATAATTTTCAAAATGCCATTTAGAGAACAGCTGTGCTTTAACTATTGATGACTAAATGCTCTCTAAAGTGAAACATCAGTGTGGTTTAAAAAATCATATAATCTTTCCCCCCAGAGGGGTACTGCAAGAAAGGGAGAGTTTAGATACAAAATGGGCAGAAGTGAAATTCTGCATAAGAAATACACTCCTAATTTGACAGGAGATGGACTTGTGAAAGATTAATCATCAACACTAAGTAGGTGCAGCTTTCAGGGCATAAGGAATGTTATTAGATCTAAAATAGGAAACAAAAATAATTTTTTCAGTAAGAACATAGACCTGATCTGGGAAGGAAATCAACTCTTTCTAATTGTCACAGTCTGTCCACTGCCAGTTAGATTGCATAATTGTTGTACACGATTTACTTTAAAATTTTGCTATAGGGATAATTAACCAGATCATTTTCCACTGCAGCAATTTACTGGAACAACTGATATCATTTCTTCCTTTCCTTAAGGCATTATTATCCCCCTCAATTACATTGCTTTGATATTTGTTTGTATAGACGTAAAAGCTTTTTAGCATAATGCATGCTCACCAAAAAAAAGTACTAGCAAGTACAGTTTGAGCTCTAGAAGTTATGATAAAAAAAAATCATAGACATGAAACACAAGTATTTTATATGCATGTCTAATTACTATCCTTTAAAGCTCTATGTAAGCATGTCTAACTATTATCATCTAAAGCTCTATGAGCAATTGCAGACTTGTACTTTTAAGTAAGTATTAATACGGTGTTAGTACAATGTAAATGGAAAGAAACATTTCGGATTTTGTGCCAAGACTAAGAAAATATGCAGGCTCTATTGGTTGCCTAGGGGACATACTACATATGTGAGATTACAAAAACCGAGTTTCATAGCCACAAGGAAATTTATATTTTAAATTATTAGAAAGAAAAACAGATATTCAATTCAAGAAGTGAGTAAGCAAGTCACTTACAGTGCAACATGACTGTTCACTAGAATAAAATATATCATCCAGAATTTTCTTTCTTTCATACTACGTGGGCACAACTCATATCTAAACTTTGATATTTCCTGCAAGAAAGCATAGAAGAAAATTATAGTTCATATCTTATGAGGAGTTGTGAAACACCTAATGCATAATTTTACTGAGCAGCAAGTTACTGGTTGTGATAATGATCTAAATGAATGTCTGTAATCAAATGTAACTATACCAAATTAATCTGGAGAAACTTTCCAACAAATGATTGATCATAACTCACTGTGTTGTAGAACAAGTCTTTTATTATTTTCCCTTAGTAAGCCTACTACAATGACTGACTGACAGTTATCATTACCTACTATAACTAGAATAATAAATGTAAATAACATGATTCCTTGCATTTCTTCTGTGGTTAAAGCTTTTCCAACTATCAGTAAATTCTCCCTAGGGCTGCATTAATCTTTATCCACAATCTTTCAGGATAATTCTATAACCTTTTGGAGAATTTATAAACAGAATAAACATCTGCTCCTAATTTTATCCAAGTAGAAATCAGCGGGTGAGAGGAAATGTTGGAAAATAGAAAAATATCTGCACATTGTGATAGCATAAGCGTTACATTAGTTTGGAACTTTATTGACTGATATGATCCACTCATTGATGATATAAAAATGTGAAGATAAAGCATAAAAGATAGGTAGAGGCAAAGCAAAAACCTTTTCTGCAGCTCAGCAAAAAGATCAAATATAAATGAAGTAGCTGCCTGTACCCTAAGATACATGCAGTCCACCCTACATACATGCAGTCCACGTCTGTGTTAGCCTCCTTTATTGAAAACAAAAAAAGAAAAATAAAATAAAATAAAATTTAGTTTTGCTCAATCCCACATCGGGGAGAAGAGCACGTGAGGGTGGTGGATTGGTTATAAAAAGAAGCCAAGGTTTAGGTTTCTAAACACACCAGATCATAAATAAGCACTATGGCTCTGAAGGTTGCCTCTCCACCACGCACAATTGCAGCATCTAAAGACATTGACACAGGTAACCCACCCGGGACTTGTGTCGTCAAGTCCGTTCACTTTTATATTCGAGAATCACACAGAAGAAAAAAAAAAAGAAGTAAAAGTAAATACAGCAGGCCAATAGTTTTAAGATATATGCGTTTCCTCGCAGCACGGTGCCCACGAGGAAATGATCTCCCACCACCAAAGTATACCGTAGGGGAGAAGAGCAGCGTGAGGGTGGATAGGAGTGTGCGTGCGCGTTCCTAACTGGAGGGGAACCAATCGCACAAGGAAAGCAACTATAAAACCAGAAGGTTTAGGGTTTGTCTAAAAAATCAACACAATCCTCTCCATTAAAAAACTACTGGGGACATTAACAGTTTGAATGTCATTCTTGTATAGTTAGTGTCGAACCTACGTGCATCGGATTTAACTAAAGCACAAGCGAGTGGTCCTTTTTTTCAAGACTAATCGATTTGATTGTATATTTAGGGGTTGTAAGGACTTGTTAATATAGTCGTTAAAACATGAATTATCTTGGTAATATAAATATATGACAAGTATGGCCAATATGGGATGCACCGAGATGGCTAGAGTCTGGCACAGGTCCCGCTGACTTGTTTTGAAGTATCTGAATTAATCATATTCGAAATCACTTATTCTCTCACCATTACACCAGAAAATATATCTAACGCAGTTGTTTAGACAATCCGGATTTGCAAATTACCAATTAATTGCCTTTCGACTCTGAATATGAGAGTCGCGCTAACGCACGTATTTTGCGTGATGTGTTTGAAGAAAGGTAAAGTAGTATCATCGAAGATCCACGCTCTAGTGGATGGAAGTTTTTCACCTGGAGGGACGTTTTGCTGTTGTGCGTAGGCATTTGTATGAGTCCATTACCAAGTGGTGAAGGTCCCTGAGCGATTGAGAGAGTATTGCATAGTTATAAATATGCGCGGGGTATCCGGAATATTACATTAAGATTGCTATTATTAGTTATATCTCCCGGGGCAGACTAATTTGTAACGTACTCTCGTACTAAAAAAGGTCAAGCATACTTCGGAACATATTTACAGATTGAAGACATTAAAAGCCTCCCAAAGTGTAGTTGGAATCCCAGAGAGCAGATGTGTAGCTTACGAGACCCAACTTCAAATGGGGATACTGATAGCTCTCCTTTTATGGTCCGAGCCCACGTAGACGATTTCTTTGCGCAAGTAACCACTTCTCAGTTCTGCACAATGGTGTATACTCTGGGTTTACCGGATTTCGTAAATCTCTATGTCAAAAAGAGTATTAACTGCGACAATGTAGGCACTAATGTGAAGCTCGTCTCTCATCCATTGGAGAGCCGTAGCTCGGATGTATGGTCCGCGGTGATGAGTAATATGAGAATGCCTGCTGGGAGTAGTTTATAAAGTCTTTCTAGCGCCTCATAATTGATATGCATTAAGTGCCATGAGTGTTGTTCAAATCGGATGGTACTATGTGTTTGAGCTAGGACTAAAGAGGTAAGTAACTCGCCAAAAAGAAGACCTAAGACAAAAGGCGTAATTAAAATGAAGCGAATAGGTTGGATTGTTGCTCAGTGCATATAGGAGACTGTGAGAAAAGTACTACCTTAATAATGCCACATCGAAACCTATGCTAATCCAACGCGGCGCCACGAAGTGAACGGGGTTATATTGGGCAACTATTGGTGGCGTGTCAAGAATGAGCGCGATCATTGTTACTAAAAAGACTTGTTGTGTGCCCTAAATTATCAGTCTGGACTGGCATTAAAGCGCTTCGTAGGCTATTAGGGTAGATTCATCACAGTTCAGTACACTATATGGATAAGAATTGCAGGAAAAGACAGTGGCAGTGGAGAACTTTCAGAAAAAAATCCCAAGATTAGCAATGAAGAACAATGGGGGAAGCTGGATATCAAGCGGCAAGGTCAAATTCGCATGTGTCTGAGTCAAAGAAATTTGTCTTGTGCTAATTGATGCTATGGATTGGTCCACCGACAGAAGGAGTGGTGGGAGAAGACTGGACAGGAATTGTTACAACCGGCGACAAGACATATGTACTCCGAACAGGTTTATAAGGACGTTTTGTGAAGGAGTATATTTAGACAAGATTGGACGTTGGAAGAATGGCGGATAGGTACAAAGGCTGGTGAGATTCGATTCCTGAGTGTTTCTTAATTACGGCAGTCGTCGATCTGAATTTGGATAAGTGTTTGGAGTGCAAAGCCGAAGAATGAAGAATAAAGGCTAACCGAAGATGAAGATAAAGCTCTCCGACTCATCCTGTCACTTCCTTCGACATATGAGCACGTGAAACCTGTTCTGAAATATGGTGGTAAGGAAGTGATGTATGCGGATGTGGTTATTAAGCTCATTACTGAGGAGAGAAGATTGAATGAAATGGAAAATAAATCATATGAGGATTCAGCTTTATCTGTCGGTACCAGGAAAAAGAATAAAAGCTCCGGAAGGAGGAAGGTTGTCTGCTGGGGTTGTGGTCAAACTGGACACTTGAGGAATGATTGCCCGAACGGTGGAGCTGATTCGACTAGAAGCTCTAACGTTGTTGCTGCCAATGTGATCTCCTGTGGCGAAGGAGATGATGTGTTCTCTCTGTCCAATGGTGATCTCCTCTGTGGCGAAGGAGATGATGTGTTTCTCTCTGTATGATTGAGAGATGTGTGTCTCATGGCATGTATGTTTACCGGTCTAAGAAGGATGCTATGGAAGAGGAGATTAATGATAGCTGGATCCCACGAAAATGGCGCGATATTCGGCAGTTCTGGTTGACAGTTGGCTGTATAAGATGGGTGTGGGACTGGAAATTTATGTCGATCGGCTAATGAACTTCTGGAGAGAAGTCAACAGTGAGGGTGTGCACCATAAGAACTATTAGCCAGGAATCGAAAGTGAGTCACGGAGTGCTGTAATAATTTTGGAAGTAGGTAAAGTTGGTTCCGAAAGGTTGGTGCTTGATACTCTTGTTATGGTTGGAGTATGATAATTCTTGAGTTAAGGAATTATATTGGTCGAATAGCAGAGGCAATATCCTCGGGGTGTTCTTATTTTTTTTTTTATTTTAAATTTTATTTTTCAAGGTGGAGGAATTGTAGCAATTCACTTTGTTGAAACAAAGAAAGAAAAAAAAAATTTAGCTAAAATTTAGTTTGATTGCCTCAATCCCGAGTCAGTTCAAGGGAGAAGCAGCATGTGTGAGGGTTTGTGGATTGGTCCGTAATAAAGAAAGTCAAGATTTAGGTTTCGGTAAAACCACACGCAGAGAAACACTGAATGTAATTTTATTTTAGGGAATTTGTAGGAGCAGAAGTTTATATTTAAGTAGTCCCTTGGAGTAATAAAATATTTTGGAGGTGTTTATTGAAGGTGTCGGGTTAGAGGAAACAATAATTATTGTAATTTTGTGGTTGTAATTTTGTAATTGTGGTTGTAACAATTTGCCGTATAGTGAATATTTTTCTTGGTTGTCGTTTGGCAACGGCCGTGGTTTTTTCTCCACTTGGGGAGTTTTTCCACGCTAAATTATAGTGTTATTTATTCTCTTTAATTTCTCAGTCATTATTTTATTTTCTCATTTGTTCCTGCTTGAAGTCGGTCCCAAGGGCGGAAAAATAGCGATTTTCCCAACAAGCACCCTCAAAACACCCCAAATATTTTATACTCCAAGGGACTCCAAAAGACTTGCTCTAAATTCCTAATATAAAACACATTCAAGTGTTTTTGGTGTGTCCGTAATTATAAAACACATTCAAAGTGGTTTTTTGTGTGTTTAAAAAACCTAAATCTTGCTTCTTTTTGATAAGCCAATCCATCACCCTACATTGCTCTTCTCCCTGAAGGGTGGGATATGAGCAAAAACACTAAATTTTGATATTTTTTTTCCTTTGTTGTTGTTTTCAACAAGAGCAAAACTAAATTTTATATTTTTTTTTCTTTTTTTGTTTTCAACAAAAGAGGCTAACAATCTCCACCTTGAAAATAAAATTAAAAAAAAAAAACACAATATTGTCTGCTATCGACAATTATAATTCTTATCGTCAAGAATTATCATACTCCATCATAAAAGAGTATCACCACTTGGAACCACTTTATCGACTCAAAGAATTTTCCAACGGCCATGTCGGATCCCGCTAATAGTTTATGGTACAACCCTCCTGTTGACTTTTCCGAGAGTTCATTAGCCATCGACATAATTTTTCCACCACACACTTTGCATCAACTGTCAATTAATGCAGTGCGCATTTCCGTGGACCAGCTACCAATAATTCGTCCTCTTCCATGGCATCTCAACGGGTAGCAATCATGCCATGAGGATACACATCTCTCAATTACAGAGAGAACACATCATCTCCTTTGCCACAGTAGTCACATTGGCAGCAACAACGTTAGAACTTCTAGCCGAATCAGCTCCACCGTTTGGGCAATCCTTCCTCACGTGTCCAGTTTGACCACAACCCCAACAGACAACCTTCCTCTTTCCGGAGCTTTTATTATTTTTCCTGGTACCGACGGATAAAGCTGAATCCTCATATGATTTATTTTCCATTTCATTCAGTCTTCTCTCCTCAGTAATGAGCTCACTAACCACATCCGCATACACCACTTCCTTTTCAAGGTCTTCTCTGCCTCAGTAAATTATGGTGGTTGGCTCAATGCTAACACATCGCCGCATACATCGCACTTCCTTACTGACCATATGTCAGGAATAGGTTTGCCATGTGTGCCTCCATAATGATCGGAAGAAGTGACAGGATGAGTCGGAGAGGCTTTATCTTCATCGTTCGGCTTGCACCTGCCCCAAACGTGTTCGCAATTTCAAAGATGATGCCGTTAAGAACACTCACGTGATGCTGACAGCTTTTTATACCTTCCGCATTTTTTCAACGTATGGAAATTGGCTCCTTTCAAAGTAGAAACCTGTTGTGAATATATTTTTTTTCTTCTGAGTTAACATTCTTCCAGTTCTCTCCCAACAACTCAATTTGTCCGTGGACAATCCAAGCACATTAGCAAGAACATTTTTGCTAAAGACACATGCGAATTTGAACCTTGCCGCTTTGATATCCAGGGTCTCATCCCATTCTTCATCGGTAAACTCGATTGGGATTTTTCTGAATGTCTCCACTAGCCACTGTCTGTTTTCCTCCTTGAATTTCTGTTCCGCTGACTGGTTTTACCCTGCACAACACCTTATGCAGTCGCAGACTCAGTCCAGACTGAATCAACACATCTTTGACTTGCACTTGCCACAGTGCAAAATTCATTCTCCCGTCAAATTTCTCAATCTCACATCTCATAGCCGACGTGCTTACTTGTGCTTCTAACAGTGAACACAATAATTAGTGAAGTAAACCGATTCGGCAATACCCAGGAAAGACCACAATGATCTCCTGGACAGTATTACCATTTCACGTAAAATCCTAGTTGGGCGGAGGGGTCACAAGCGGTTCCACTTAAAATCCAGCCTTCTAGACAGAAGTTACGTGCACGATATATTATCATAACTTTCGTACCAGAATAACTTCAATAATTATCGTCAGGACCTTCACCACTGGTACTCAAGCACACCAAAGCAAAGCTCCACCCACTTCAAGACTTCCAAAACTCCACCTGCTCAAAACTCCACCTGCTTTTAAAATAAAATAATTTCTAACAACAGTATTTCTGATGTGGAAGATCAGACTAAGCCGCAATCACAGTGCATACTTATAATTTAAATTACAATAAATTATTTTAACACTAAAAGCTCCGCCTAACAACTAGGCTGATACCACTTGTTGGGAAAATCGCTATTTTCCCGCCCTTCGGACCGGCTTTAAGCAAGAACAAATAAGAAAATAAAATAATGAATGAGAAATTAAAAAGAACAAATAAGAAAATAAAATAATGAATGAGAAATTAAAGAGAATAAATAACACAATAATTTAACGTGGAAAAATTTCCCAAGTGGAGAAAAAACCACGGCCGTTGACAAACGACAACCAAGAAAAATATTCACTATGCGGCAAATTGTTACAACCACAATTACAAAATATTTTTCTACCTAACACCCTTAAAACACCCCAAATATCTTATACTCCAAGGGACTCTAAAAGACTTGCTCTAAATCCCTAATATAGAACACATTCAAGTGTTTTTGGTGTGTTTAGAAACCTAAACCTTGGCTTCTTTTTATAGCCAATCCACCACCCTCACATGCTCTTCTCCCCGATGTGGGAACCACCCTCACATGCTTTCTCACCCGATGTGGGATTTGAGCGAAACCTAAATTTTATATTTTTTTTTTTTTTCTTTTTTTGTTTTTTCACAAAAGGAGGTATACATTAGATGCACCTGATCCACTACTCTTCTCCCCGATGTGGGATTGAGCAAAACTAAATTTTATATTTTTTTTTTTCTTTTTTTGTTTTCAACAAAGGAGGCTAACATAATGCACCTGATCCACTAGAGACAAAATGCAAAAACATGAAAGACTATATTCTCTTTAGATTTATTTATCTCTCCCTGCCTTAAATCTTGCAATGGGATTTGATTAGTTTCTTAAACAGATATGGAGTCACTTCATTAGCTAAGAGAGCTGACAGCAAAAGTCATTATTCTACTAATCCCACTTTAATACCACATTATAGCCAAGGTTACTCACTGAAAAAGGCAGCAAGACTGCAACATGATGTTGCAATTGAACGAGATGACAAGACTATTAACTAATGGAAGGTAAAATTATGGGAAACTAAAATATCATTTCCAAGAAGATTAGTTATCACGAGCAAATGGGTTGACAAAGGTGGATCATATCAACCATTACATAAAAAGATAAATACAACGCAGTTCTTGTTAAAGCACGTCAAAGTTTCATTCATTATGCACCCAATCACTTCTTTCATATCTATGTTTTGCTACTTTAACAATTCAATAGTTACATGTCAATATTTAATTCATAAATTCAATTGCAGCCATGAGTTACAACATTAGCAATTCGTGTAACGAGAAAGGAAGCAACCTTGACAGTTGATAACACGAGTTTGGCATGCTTTTCTTGCCACTCAGTAAGATCCTGTCTCACATTTGACACCGTGGGCACATCAGATATCTCCGAATCATCTATACATAAAACAAATATCCAATTTACATAACCAAATGCTTAACACTGTACAAAATGATGCAAATTACATTGATTACATGATGTGTATTGAGAACAGCACACACAAGCCTTGATTAACACGAAAAAACCAAAATTGAGAACAATAAAACAAAGTTCTTGCATTTTTAACTCCCAATTCCTTTTAATTTTCCACACTTTCTCAGCAACCATACAAACAAATAAATAAATGAATTAATTCAAGTAGTTTACCTGGTAATGGAAAATCTTGAAATGTGCTCAAAGTAATTTCTTTCACAAACTCTCTTAACTCCTCCGTTATACCGAATCTCTCGAGTTCCTTCTCCTTTTCCTCCTGCTGCGCCTCTGCTGTAGAGTCCGTGCGCGGGAGATGACCAGATGGCGTGATCCCTTCGGCTAAGGACTTTATCTGATCAGCTCGCTTGATGGCTTCAATCTTGATCTGGTCGGCTCGTTTCGAAGCCTCGGCAGCTATCTCCTTGGAACGCTTAGCCGTCTCCGATACGATGTCGGATAGCTTCGAGGAACCAATAGTAATCTCTTGAGAGCGTTTAGAGGCCTCAGCGGCAATCTCCTTAGAGCGTTTAGCCGTTTCCAAAACGATGTCGGAGAACTTGGAAGAGCCGATAGTGAGCTGCTGGGATCGCTTGGCGGCTTCCTTGGTCAGCTCTTGAGAACGCTTCGCGGCTTCCTCGGCGAAGCTTCGAGCTTTATTCCAGAAGTCCATGATTGAAGCTGAATTTCTCTGCCTCAATGCGATATTTAGAATTCTTCTCGTTCTGGCTTTTTTCCTGGTAATGTAACGAGTGCAGAAGACGAGGAAGGAGGGAAGTTTTTTTTGGCGAAAGGAGGCACGGGTTTGATATGTACACGTGGCGAGGTTTGACGAAGTGGGATTTAGGAGAGACGATCCTCTATTCTGGTTGTTGGCTTTGTTTTACACGATCCGTTTTGTTTGTTTCTAACTTTGAATGACCTGTCGTTGAACTAATTGTCGTTCGGTCGATCTTCGAACACGTTATTAAGAAAATGGTATGTAGTACGGCGTCGTTCAATTAAACAAAAAAAAGACAAAAAAAAAAAAGAAGAAAAACAATCCATCGAACAATGCGTTTTTTATTCTAGAATTTATCACTATGACTCACTTCCAATTTCCAAAGACTTGGACATTATCCTCTTGTTATGTTAAAAAATAACTTATCCTCTTGTCCTTAAACAATTTATTTTAAAAAAAATTAATTTTATTTATCTCTAAATTATATATTTTTTGTTTTATAGCTTGTTTTAAAATATTTGTGGCATTTGTGATTTCAAAAGTAATAAATTCATTTTTTTATGTTTATCTTTTGTATATAATTAATAATTATTATTTTAATTTAATAGCTTAGTTTTAAAATATAAGTAGGCATTTGTGATTATTCAAAAGTTTAATAAAAATTTTTTTCTTATTGTATAATATCTCTTTGTATATAATTAATAATTACTTTAGTTTTAATTAATGATTTTTTTTTAGAGAGAAATCTATTTACAAATTTTAAGAATAGTATAGTCAAATACTCCAATGAATTTCATTATAAATCTTTAACAAATTTAATGACTTTCTTTAAATAACGTTTAAAAAATAAATTGTCAAAGGGAATATAACAAAAATATTAGATTAAATGAGTATATATACTAAAATCCGAAAATTAAATATATGTCTTCTTTTTTAATCAGCTATCAGTCCGCCCTTTTCCTGTCCCTTCTATTTAAATAGATTCATGTTCTTTAAAAAATCGGCCATCTTCACCCACGAATTAAATCAAATAATTATTATTTTAATTTAATGATTTTTTTTAGAGAATTATTAAATTAAGAATAGTATAGTCAAATACTCAATAATTTATTATAACTTAGACAAATTAATGACTTTCTTAAAGAACGTAAAATTTCAAAAATAACAAGAATTATAGATTAAAGGTAATATATCTAAACCGAAAATTAAATATATGTTCTTTTAATCGCTATCAGTGCCATGTCCTTCTATTTAAAAGATTATTTCCTTTAAAAAATGCATCTCACCCACAATAAATCAAAATCCCTTATAATAAATAAATATTATGAATATCATAATTTAAAAAATCAATTATATTTTACCAAAAATTAATAAAAACGAAAATTTACAGCGATTAATTTAGTACTTGAACAATGCAACAGATCCGATCTTGATAAATAATTTCTGAAAACTTATCATCATTTGCAAGTTGAAACCCGATTTGTTACAGACCAACATATCAGGAATCTCTTACACGAATTTTCTTTACTTAGAATAGTATTATTTTTACTCTATTACAATTTCTAAAAATTTTAAATTCCCACCAAAGCACTCAGAAAAAAAGGAAGAAACTGCTCAAAACTTGAGCCCATAGTCTCCCGAGAAAGCATCTTTCTTGCAATATTAAAATCAAAAATCATAGAATTTTTTTTTTAAAAGAAAGAATAAAGAATCATAGTACGCCAATTCTTTCTTTATAATATATACATTACACGTGGACTTGGTCTCTATTAGGCCACATGGCACAAGGGTAACAGAAGAACTACACTCTAGACTAATCAAAGTTGCATCTAATATTTTTACCTGAAGGAGGAGGAGGTGGAAGATGGAGATGACTTTCCAATTTGATTTCTTTGTATTTCAATTTCAAAAGCTCGTTGCCCATGTCGAAGTCTAATCTAAACCTATATTGCACAAACAGAGCAAAGCTTTCTTGTAGTTCTGCCCTCTATAGGAAAATCCTCGACTATTGTTTGAATTTGAGAAGTCTACTTCTTCGTCAACTCTGCACTTCGTGAAACACGGGAACGTTCAAACTGTAGTCCAGCTGCTTCTCGCTTATAAGGTTCATAATTTCACTTTCTTTTTCTTTTTTTGTTTCTGGGTATTGTTATTTTTTCTTTTCCTTTTTCTTTTTTATTGTACTATGGGTTTTGTTCTGGCTTGAATTTGTGATAATATATATATATATTTTTTTTTTTTGCATAAAACATTTATCAAGTTTTATTGTTGATTTCTGCTGTTGATGTATGATTGTATGTTGTTTAATTAGAGGATTCTGATATTTGACTTGTGGTTTTGTGTTTTGGGGATTTTCTTCAGGTTTTGAGTTGTAGAGGTTTGTTTAAAATGTTAGTTCCAAGGATGAATTCGAAAAGGCAGAGGCGTTCAAACGTTAGGCTAGGGGAAATAGGGGATATTCCTGCGGCTTTTGCATGTAGGTTTTCTCAGAAAACCAAAGAAAATTTAGGGCGTAAGAGTTCTGAAAGTGATGTGCTGAACCCTAATGATACCCAACAAAGTCACATATATGGGTTTGCAATGCAAACTTCTCCTGAGTTTGTAGTTTTGGGCCCTGGCGTCTCTTCAAGGATATCAGCCGATTTGCAGCAGAACAGGGAGAATAAGAATCCAAACTCTTCAAAATCAGCTTTTGAATTAGTGAGTTCAGATATGACCAAGCTGAAACTGAATTTTGGCACCATAACCAGAAAATGTAGGGTTATGAAGCGTCGGGGTCATAGCACTAAAAGGACTAATAATGTTTTTGGCAGTGCTTGGAGTTCTAAACTTAGCCCTCAATTTAGTAATGAAGATAGAAAAGACTGCAGTGTAAAGGAGTTTGTAAGTTTTACTTCAGATGAATGCAATGACTATTACAATGACAGTGTCTTTAAGGACTTGTCGGATCATGAAACACCAGCTACAAGTAAAGAGGGTTGTGAGTTTGAGATGGATGAACCTGCTTATGATATGAGACTAAGCAGGAACTACAATGAGTTTTGCCTAGAGGATGCTTGTAATGAAGGGAATAATGCATCTCCTGTATCTGGTCCTGTGTGGGATGAGATGAAGTCCGATGGTGGTGATGTAAATGCCGTCACAAGATGGTTAGAGGAGCAAGGATTTGGTAAATATGCTAGTTTATTCGAAATGCATGAAGTGGATGAGGAAGCTTTGCCACTGCTTACTCTTGAAGATCTCAAAGAGATTGGTGTGTCAGCTGTTGGTCCTAGAAGAAAGCTCTACAATTCAATACAGCAATTAAGAAAAGGAGGTGTTACTGCTTGTCAACTTATTCAAATGAGATTGTAGGTAATGTTTCATCTTGGAATTGCCTAAACTTTTGTGCAGAAAAGTATCGTAAGTGTATATGCAACTCTTTTTTGGGACTCCTAACATGATGTGTATTCTGTATATAGTGTCTACTGTTATGTTTGAAAGAATGGAACAGCCTACTCATAACTATCTGCTAGAATTCCAGAAGAATTTAGTATTGGACAATGAATTTTAATTTTAAGAATCGTTGGAAGGGCTAGCGGCTTGGGCTACTGAATAGGGATAGTCAATCTTCCTCAATCCTCACTCAACCCTTTTAACCCATCAATATCTATAGGATGCGGGACTCAAACTCGAGACTCTTCACTTCTTGTACCCTTAAAAGGATAGAGGGAGATCTGCCCAGCTACACCTAATTAGACTTTGATGAATTATATCAGTATGTGCAAGCTTTCATCAGAATTTCAGAATCCATAAACATTAGCGATATCAAACATAAACCAAATATTGGATAAACTTGCTCCCTTTTGTAGTAGTTTGACTCTTATTCAGTTTATAGTTACAAGTTGTTTGGGCTGTTTTACTCAGAGAAGTTCATTCATACTTGGAATATAGTGGCGCAAAAGGATCCATGGAATAGATGACAACTAGTTTATGATTGAGCTTTAGGCTACTTGACATGCAAAAGCTTTGAGTCCATTTCTGAAATATGCTTACTAGAATCTCTTACTTCGAGTCCATTTCGCATGTAAAATTCTAGTACCAAATACCAATAATATGCAGTTGGACTCCAGATAATTTAAAATTTCCTTTCCTTCTAGCTCTGAAGTTGTAATTAAGGGTACTTGTTTTTTAAGTCCTAGTGGATAAGAAACCCATATACCCTTTACTACTTTGGATTCTATACTGAAAGGCAATATGAATCCAAGGCTATAATTCTGCATCTCTTCCCATTCTGATTCCAAAAAAGTCTGTTATTGCAGATTCTGCAATGAGCAAGTAAGAGTTTGCACTTAAAAACTTAAGAATATATAGAGTTCATAACAAACGAAACTGTGCTAAGTTGAGAACTGATTTTCCAAAAAGCATCCTTTCAAATATTGTTAGAAACTATGGCTTCAAGCTTTTATAATTAGAATATGTAAGATTTAAATAATTTTTAATAGTTTTTACAAAATCAATACACTCAGCCTAATAATTCATTCTTTATTGGGCCAAGGGTCCATAACCCACATGATTGAATATTCATCATCTTCATCCTGTTAAGAGTTTGGTGAACACACATGTTCTGATAATTAGCAAAAAAAATGAAATATTTTTTTTTAAAATAATTAACATATTTTATTAATGTTGGTCATGTAAAATAATATCTTTCTAATTCCAAATGCCATGTCAATGTTATTAAAGAAAGCTTTTAAATTTCCTCCTCGACGCATAATTATGAAATAATCAATCACCTCCTTTGTTATTGAATGGTGTTGATAGGAGTTATAATCTAGAACAAGTACTAGTTGTATGGTTAGGAATAGGTCCACATCTTCCCCTCCAGTCCCGCATGTGCAGACATATATTAATTTAAATATTAAAAAAAAAACTCTCTGGTCATGATCGTGAATCATGATTGAGGTTTGTCCCTGATTTTATCGTTAATAATTTGATGAGGACGATGTTTCCAGGTTCATAAATCAGGCATAATGCTTACATGGGTACAACCTGTTTTTATATACCTCCTCCAGTTAAATGCTTGTCTGTTTTAGACTTTTAATAGTGATTGCTGTTGATAGCTTCTAAGATAAACGATGATATTTGATTTAATCATGCTATTTTGTATGACTGTACACATTTATGAGGATTGGTGTCAAATCTCAGTAACTGTTGTTCTTGATATTTTAAATGAGTCAATGTTTAAATATCTGCATTGTACTATTCTTGATAAGTAGATGAGTGACAAGAGAAACTATGCAAATAGGATGATATGCCAAGATGCTTGGCAATGCCATACACAGATATCTTCTTCTTGATACACGTTATGAATATATGCACCATTGATTTTGAGATATGTAGAATTTCTCATTCTATCGTTTAGTAGAAATTAATAAAATACATAAATTTGCAAGATTTTGGCTAATTTTCTTTCAACCAAACAAAAAAATTTGATAAATCCATAGAATTTAAGATTTCGTCACTTCTTAACTAAATAATAGGGTTAATTCAATATTTTATTGTTTAAATTTAAGGGGTCTACAAAATTAACTCATTTGATAGCTATTAGTTGTTTTAGTAGATTTAGCTATTTAAGTAGCTCTTTTATAAAACGAAAAGCTATCTAAAAACTATTAACTGTTTTAGTAGGTTTAGCTGCTAGTAGCTATTTTAGTAATTTTTCATAAACACTAAAAAATAAATGTTACAATTTAACCTTTTATAAAAAATGTTACATTTAATTTCTAAAGACCGGTTCAAATATTATATTATTGAACACTATAAAAAATAGCGCTTAACTAAAACACTGAAACTACTTAAAAAGTTATTGTTCAACAAAGCATGAATCTAAAGCTAGCCCAGACTTTATACATTATTGATTGATTATTGATAACGCACACTAATTTATACACCATTAGTCGTAATTTCCTTAATAATCTTTGAATTTCATCATAGAAAGATTTTATTTTTTGCTCATACATATATACACGTGTGTGGAATAAACTAAAACTATAACAAAAGATAAATAATACATATCAAGATATTTTGGTCCATAATATCCTTGTCCCTAGACAACTAAGATAGGTCAGTACTAGTCCCAATTCTTGGTAGGACCCACTAGAAGGTGAAGTTTTTTTACATTAGAAACCCATGTAATCATCAACATTAAACTATTAATTAAGAATAATTAACAATGACTAATCACAAATTAATATTAGATTAAAAGGGTGATCAATGAAAGTGACAAGAGCTTGGTGTGTTATTATAAAGGGGTTGTTGGGACGTATTTGTAAATGTAGTATCGATTAGATGTGACCACAAAATCTTGGACGGCTCCTATCTTCCATTAACATCAACAGGAGCTTGAATTGGAAGAACAAGAAAGAAAAAGAAAGAAGACAAATAAAAACTGTCCTCTTGTGATTTGTTTTTATCATGGTGGGGACTAGAAATGTAAATATGGTCATCACTCACTTGATCATTGCTAGCTTAGATTATGCCTTATGGAGGTTTTGTATGTCCTTTCCCTGTCTTTCGTGCATACACACAAACAAGGGACACGTGGATTCATTTTAGAATTTTTTTTAAAATAATTTTATTTGAATTTTCTTATATTTCTCTATCAAAATATATTGAAGGATCAATTTTTGATTAGACATTTCAGAAATCTCTGCAGTTGTGGCTGCTTCTTGGGGTAATTGCTTAGATAGGAGCTTTGGTCCTAGAAAGTTAATTGATACTAATGTACAAATTTTATGTTTTTGTTCCAATAGGTGGTACAGAGGGTTCTTATCTGGATAAGGTGATATATAGGTACATTTTTTAAAAAACATATAGCATAGGCAATTAAACCAGGCATTTCCACAGGGAGGTCAAATCAGGTCTGCAAGGTAGTGGCGCGCTGGATCTTGGCGGAATTTCAGATGAGGGTAATGAAATGAGTGCTTAGAATAGAGCCGAAGCATTCTTGGTCCTAGAGAAGTTAATATTATCGCTGAGTGAGCTGTGGAAAGAAAGATGAATAGAGACGAAGTTTTTTATTGTTTTGAATATGTTTTTCTGACCAAATATCGGCTTCACTTCAAGCGAGCAAATTCTTCTAGTAACATATTTTTTTTTGTTTTTACTTTTTTTTTTTTTTAAATGCTCCACACCAAAATAATGACCAAATTAACGGCCATAGTTGGTACAGAAGGTTCTTAATCTGAGAAAGGTGATATAAAAAAAAACGCGGGGTAAATACGATACACGGTGTGAATTGGCTTTAAAATATCCCTTGAAATGTAAAAAACTCGGAAAACTAGCCATGAAAGAAGTGATCCACGATACAATTTTTTTTAAAAAAAACATATTATATATATTAAGGCGTATACAGTTAGTTATGATTAATGTATTTTATAATATATTTGAACGGTATTTGTTTTGGGAATAAGGATAATAGACCGTCGGAGAGTGTAGAGTTTAGGAGATGCTGAAGATTTTGCATATGAATCATGAAACTTAAATCTGCCCGTCTTTTATTTGCATTTATAGAGATTGAGTTTAATGATCAGTAGATAGAATTTGCAGGAAATGTAGTAAAGGTATAAATATATAATTATGAGTATACCAAAAATCAATAATATTTAGAGGTATAAAGCCTGTCAAACAGTCACAGGAAGAAAGTATTGGATGGATAGCCCGAGATAGTCGCATCGGGTACTAACACGGGCTTTATATTTAGGGTATACACACCTTTCCCTTTTAAATTTATCAGAATACTCTGAAGCCAAACACCGAAATTAGAAGGCCAAAAATAAATTTTCAAAATTAAAGAGGTAAAAAAAACATTGAGCTTGGGATCCGGTCTCTGCCCCTAGAGTATTCAATTATAAGAAATACCAAATAACTATCGTCGAGAGAATTCGAATTCAAAACTTTTAACTCTCATATAAATTAAAAGATTAATTAAAGCATCATTTGCTGGCTTTGAGAGAGTTTTATATACTAATCTGTAATAGAGATAAGGCATTCAAGAACTTACTTGTCAATTAGCACATAGCAATTCATTTCCATTTTCTTTTTTTTCTTTGAAAATCCACCAAATCAAATGTTGTCCAAATTTTATAGTTTATGATAAAAACAAAACATAAGTTGGGCCCATTTAATTGAATTTCAAAAGTGCCAGAAATTACCTGTCAAACCAGCTCCATGATACTTCATAGAGTTGGGACCACAAGCTATCAAATTCCCCAACTATAAGTTATAAAACCAGAGAAACATTCTCAATCCTTTATATAAAATAAAATTTATTTATTAAAAAAAATATTTAAATATTACAAACCAATCACTCAAACTAACCAAAACCATCATTAGCATCATGTGCTCACATCCACCAACAAGCTTTTGGGTACATGATCCAATATAGATTATTAAAACACCCAACTTTTTTTTTCTATTTTAAGTAAATTATTTTTCTTTTAACATTTTGGTTTTTGGACTATAACATCAAATGACCTAATCCAACATACCCAATTAAATGTTTTGAAAATGATCATT